GCGAGGTGGGCACGGGGGCGCCGAGGATTTGAACGCCCGAAGTGGGTACGGAACAAAGGGGTACAATGCCCAACAACAAATGTTGTCCCAGACCAACAGCGGCCGCTGTTGGGCCGGCGGCCTTCTGTCTCGAATGGACCCAGGCCGCGGCGGCGTGGACAGCGAGTCCTGCTCAAGATGAGCAGAAGCTGCGGTTGGGCATCGTACCCATCCTTTCCGTACCCATTTCGGGCGTCCAGAGAGGAGAAGGGGAGAGGAACGAGGGGAGAGGAACGAGGGGAGGGGAGGGGAGGGGGCGGGGAGGGGGCGGGGAGGGGGCGGGGAGGAGGGGGCGGGGAGGGGAGGGGAGAGGAACGAGGGGAGAGGGAGGGAGGGGAGAGGGAGGGGGAGGGTGGCGGGGAGGGGAGAGGAGCGAGGATTGAGGATGCCACGAAGAGCGAGAGCCCGCCGGACTGTTGGGAAGTGGCAGGCTCTCGAGGCGCCACACTGACGTCCCAGGGGGCAGCCAGCGGCGCGATCGCCCAGCAACGCGCGGGTCCGAAAAATCTCGGGCTTTTGTGTCGCCGTCCTCCTCCTCCTCCTCCTCCTCCTCCTCCTCCTCCCCCCCTCCTCCTGCCCCTGCCCCTCCCCCCCTCCTCCTCCTCCTCCTCCTCCTCCTCCTCCTCCTCCGTCATCAGAAACCTACTGAAGATGAATCGCCGATCGGCGATGCATCGCCGATGCCAGGTCGGTGCTTCTGCCCCTGAGCCGGTTCCCCCCCCGAGAGGCTGCCCCTCGAGCAGGCCCCCCACGAGGGCTGCTCCCCCCCGGTTGGTCGGGCTGCTCCCGCTGGCTGCTCCCCCACGGCTGGTCTGGTCTGCCCGCGGACGAGAGATCGCGCGCCGCCCGCCGCTGTCTCTCCCGGCGGAGGTTTTTTTTTCCGCCCTCGCCGCCGCGCCGCGGGCGTGAGGGAGGCGGGTCGCTGTGGAGATCGGACGCAGTTTTTTCTGGTGATTTCGCTCGGAGGCGCCCCTGACAGGGTCGCAAAGCGTCAACCAGACAACACGGATACCAGCATAATGCGCCTTAAAGCGGCATAGCGCCAGACGGACAACATTAAAACGACGCGAAGATCGGGATAAAACGACGCGAAGATCGGGACAGCATTAAAACGACGCGAAGATCGGGACAACATTGAATCGGCGGGTTTGGGGGATGTATTGGGCGCCGCGGCCGCTCCAGAGCGTTCCGGAACGCTCTGAGAGCGCTCCGGAAAGCTCTGGAGCGATTTATCCCGATCCTAGCCCTGTTTTAAACACGCAAATCAGCAGTATGCGCCCTATGGGTATCGTCTTCTTTATTTTTCTCTTCCTCGCAATTCACGCCCCTTTGTCCTCCAAGATCGGGGCTCGTGGCAATATCAGGTTGCTGATTTCTGGGGTGGAGGCGGATCTGCAGGGGCTAGGATCGGGATGAATCGCTCCAGAGCGTTGCAGGATTGTCCCAGAGCTTCCGCTAACGCTCTGAGAGGGTCGCAGCTCCCGACACGTCCTTCCGAGCCGCCGGATCTGAGAGATCCCCAACTGGTCCGGGACCGATTTTGTCGGGGTCCTGACCGCGAGGGTTTCGGGCGCTCTTTTGCGACGGTTTTGGCTTCCCTTTGCGAGGGTTTTGGCCCCCCTGTGACATGGGAGGCGCTTCCCCCATTGCCCAGCCGCAAGAACAGCCCATTGCCCAATCGCAAGAAAAGCGCAGACGTTTCAAGCGAACAGCGTGAACTCCATAGTGCACAGACGGCGCACTCGGGTTGGCAGAACAGCGCCTCGTTTCGTCGTAGGTGGGGCGGTCAATTTCAAAGATGGAGGACCCGGTCGGACCAAGGGGGCTCGAGGTTCAGGGTGTTCGTTTTCGGGTGTACACCGCGTCTCCTCTGCGGGCTTCCAGTCTCGGGGTGCTTTCCAGAAGCTGCGCATCGCCGAGAGCTTCACACTGGGTGCCCGAGTGTTTGGAGCGGCCGCAGTTGTTGCCGAGGTGACCCTCCCAGGCCCTCACCGCACTGCAGAAACAGTGCGGAGGTTTCTCGCCTTTCTTGTCCTTCGGAGATCCTGGCCAGACCCTCGGGCCGTTACAAGACGAAACGTCGGCCCTTGGGAAGGGTCGGGGTTTCTGGGGATCTTTGTATTAAACACATGTATTACGTCGGATCTCACGGTTAGATTCTGAGGCTTTCCATGGGGCCAGTTGTTGATCACACCGAAACGTGTTTTACGGTCATCTGGGCCTAGAAGCCCCGACACGTCTATCTCTTTTGATAATTGTTTGTTCCGACGTCACCGCTGTTTTGTGATTTCGGCCCACGGGATCCCAGATATCCTATGTATCAGTTCACCCACATCCTAAGTGGGGCTTTTGTTCTTTCTGGAAACCCCGCGCAGCCCTCTCCTCACCGCCCTCTCTTCTTTCACACTCATCACTACCCCCACAGCATCATCACCACCACCACCACCACCATCATCATCATCATCATCATCATCATCATCATCATCATCATCATCATCATCATCATCATCGTCATCATCATTATCGTCATCGACATCGTCATCGTCATCATCAGCAGCATCAGCACCATCACCATTATCATCAGCATCAGCGTCAGCATCATTCTCCTCGTCGTCATCATCAGCAATATCTTCATATGCATGATCATCACCATCTCTACTCATACACACTCACACGACACCTCACGCGTTTCCACTCACATTCCCACGCTTGCACAGTCATCGTGAGGAAGTCTAGAGCGGGAGCCTCGCTTGTGACTGACATGTGGAAGTCTAGAGCGGGAGCCTCGCTTGTGACTGACATGTGGGGATGTCTCAGGCAGGACCCCTCTCCATACCAGGCGTTCCCAAAAGGGCATCGCCTTCGAGGGGGGAAGGAGTTGTCATCCCTTCCTCGGCGGACGGCCGCGGAAGGCGGCGGAAGTGAAACGGCGGCGGTTCTGCCGCCTGCGGAGGCCGGCGGAAGTAGGAGTCGACCTCACAAGAGATGGCACCATTTTTGGGTTCAGGGGTTTCCGGAGACCGCCATATGGGGGCGCAAGATCATTTTTGTAATTTGTGCGGCCATCCAGATGTTGTACCTGTCGTCATCTCTGGGCTCCTGAGACGCGGATCCGGAGGAAGTCTGGAGCGGGAGCCCTGTCTGTGAGTGAATTGTGAGGAAGTCTCTGGCGGGAGCCCCCGTCTTGGGGCCGCCAGGTCATGGTAGTAATCCGAGCGGGTCATCCACTTGTTGTGCTTGTCGTCATGTTTGGGCTCCTGCGGCGTGGATCTGATCGAAGTCTCGAGAGCCTCGTCGCTAATTGAATGGTGAGGAGGTGTCGAGCGGGAGCCCACCTCCTTATGTGGTTCGCAGATCGGCTGCGGTACGAGGAGTCTGCGCCAGGCAAGCTGTTTCGACTCCTCTTCTTACCGCGGACGATCTAGATTCAGGCGGACGGCTTTGAGGAGTCCCTTATCTACCGGGAGGTCGCCGAGCTGCTGTTACAGGGTGCCGAAGACATTGACGACGACGGCCAGAACGTGGCGCGGGTGCTGAATGGTTCATGTTCAGACCCGCGAGCAGGAGCTCATGTGGCAGAGCTCGGGGCCGCACGCCGTGCGCCACTCGGGGTTCTGTCTGGTGCACGCGTCTTGCATCACGCCGGCGTCATTGCCGAAAGGCATCGCAGGAGTACAAGAGGACAGCGGCTCCACTGCTGCGGCCGAGCAGCCCGCCGCAGAGCTTAGCTTCGTGCTGCCCTTCGCCCGAGCGTTCCCGCGCCCCTCTCGAATCTTGCGGGTTTGTCACAGCAGCTCCGTCTCGTGCGCCAGCGGCCCGCGCGTATGCCGCGACGGTGTGTTTCGCGAGGGGTTCCCCGACGCGGTCATCGGAGAACGCGCCCCTGCCCGCGGAACCGGCGACGGTGCCCACGAACACCAATGCGCGCGCCAATGCAATAGGAGCGGGGAGGTGGCGGGAGAGGAGAGGCAGGAGGGCGAGGAGGAGGCATGGCAGAGACGGGAGGAGGGCCTGCGCCAGGGGGAGGAGGCTTATGGCACAGAGGAGACGAGAGAAGAACCTGCGCAATCACAGAACTGACGATGATGATCTGTCCCAGACTGGCTTCGGAGATTATCGCTCGGGGCCTTACCGTCGGAGTGCTGCAATGCGGGGCCCCAGAAGCCCCGACACGTTCCCCAGCGCTGGCCGTTCGTCTCGAATCGTTCGTGGACCGTGCTGGGGCCCAGGGGAGGCACCAAGGCACGGAATACAACACCTGATTTTTGCCGTGCCCGAAACACATCCGAGGTTCAGGATGACGACCCCCCAGGCCGGCTTTTTATCTTGAGCCGTTTCCTTTCGGCCGAAAAGTGTCGACGTGCATCGCGGAAGTTGTTTCGTTTATGCAATGCGCACTTGTATTGGACGGCGTTGGCTTTTTCAATCGGCGGCGCCGGAGCTGCAACATCCCCGACGGTGTGATGCTTTCAATCTCGCGTACGTTTTTCGACCTCGGCCCCCGAGGCCCGCTATCGGGCCCCGGGGCCAGAACTACATGTGGGGCAACAAAAATACATTTCTGGGGCCGCGCGATGAAAACCTCACACGTAGTCCGATGTTTGCAAATGGGGAAACATATTGCTGATTGCGCAATCATAATTCGGATCTTTGGGTGCGGGCCCGGAGATGAGATGACCTCTTTGATCGGGCGTTTCGTAATGTGGGACGGCGGAAGGGGATATTGATCGTGGGTTCCAGGAAAAAGGGCCTGAAAGGGCCCCCCCGTCTGGGGCCCCGAAGGCGTGCGGAAGGTGCACACTCTTTCTCCCCCCAGCTCCCTCATTTTATTGCCCCCCCGTTAAGCAGTGCCCGATTTTTCCTTGGGGCCCCCTTCCCTCTTGCCGACCGCCGCGGCCGGGCCGGCACCCGCCCCACTGGGTGCGTTCCGCCCCACCTGGGGCCGCCGCGCCGCATGCCGCATGGGGTGGTGCGGTGCCGATGCGAGCGTGGCCAGGGACGTCGGCGACAACGCCGAGGCGCCGCCGGGGCAAGCGGGAAGGGGGCGCCGTGGGGGGCGGCCCTCGTCCAGGCCTCCCAATCGGGGTCCGAGCGCGTGGGGTCGGAGGATCGCGCCGCATGGCCGTTGCATGGGCGATGCGGCTCGATCGGAGGTCTTGGGGCGAAGGTCGATGCAAAGGAGCGTCAGCCAGAGAGCCGGATCCTCCAGGATCCTGCAGAGCCAGGGGTGCACTGACCCAGGTTCGGGTGTAAGATCCTTCAGGATTTTGCTGGATTTGCAGGATCATACAAGGCCTGATTGACCCGGGTTTGCATCGACCTAGGTCAGTAGATCCCCGATCGATGCGGGGCCCGATTTTCTCCACGCCGGCGTCGCCGATGCATCGCGGGTGCATCGCCGATGTGGCGCGATCCTCCGACCCCATCTATTCGGACCCCGTTTGGGAGGCCTCCACTTCTAAGTTGGCGGGGGACTTCTTAGAAGGGCCCATAGAAGCTTCCCAGGAAGCTTCTTAGAAGGTCGCCCCCCTCGAGCCCCACCCTTGTACGCGCCGCCAAGAGGCTCCCCCGGGGCTCACCCTGGACGTGTGGTGCCTGTGCTGCGCCTCGGAGGACACTCCATCTCGCAGCCTTCCCGTCGTCGTGTCGTCGTGAGACAACATCGGAGCGTTTTCGCAGTCTTTCGGGCTCGTGCACGGGAGCTGTTTCTAGGCCCCTGGGACGTCAGAGAACGACTCAGGGTGACAAATTGGCCCCCGGGGAGGGGGTCGAGAGGTCCAGGGGCTTTGCATTGCAAAGATCATGGCGTCTGATATCTGGACGCGAGCGTCGACCATGAGAAATGGATGCCCTCGCTTTGGACACCGAACGGGATCGGACGCGATACCATGGATGTGTTCCTCGTTGACGATCCTTTCGAAGCCGTCCTTTACCCATGTGGTCGCGGGCGAGGAGTTTGAACTGCGAGGCCACGCAGATCGGCACGTATTTCTAAGGCCTTGCGGCCCTGTGCCGCCGACCCTGGAGGCCTCGGCCCTGCCGACACGCCCTGACCCGGACCACCCCCCGGGACCGCTTCCCGGGACCCCCCCCCCTCCGCGGGGAAGGGATCAAAGGGAAGAGGCTTCCCTTCGACTCAACGACAACGTGGCTGCATTTCGCTGTGGAGGGGCTGATGTACTTCGTGTTGGCTGGCGTGCGTGAGGACGAGGGCCCAAGGAAAGGGGGGGACGGGCGACGGACTCAGGGGAAGGAGGGGGCGTGAGGCGGCGGCGAAGCGACGGCGGCAGCGACGCCGATGGCGACGGAGCAGCCCCTGTCACACGCCGACAGGGTCGGCGGATTTCTCCTGCCCGCGAGTCTAGGATTGTGGGGCCGACTTATGGCCTCCGCCCCTGCGCGCGTACCTTGTGCCGGACCAGCTTGCGTGTGGGGGTGGTGTGCAAAAATTCGGGGGCGGACAGAACCCCCAACAGTGACACGTCGATTAGTGAATTGTCCGTTTTCGGTTCTCGAGAGGGCGCCGCGGTCGTGATTTTCCAGGCTTGCGCCCGCCAGGTTTGGGCCTCAGGTCGTTTTCACTAAACCACGTTTTACTAAAGGGAGGTCTGTCCATCCCCGAAAAATCATACCCCCAGGTGGTTATATGTTTGTGCAACCCCTGCTCTACGGTCTCGTGCTTGGACCAGCTTGTTTGTGGGGGGGGCGCCAAGCATCGTGCCCCCAAGGATGAACATCGAAGATTCGGGGGCGGAGTTTTCTGGTCTTCTTGGAGCCTTTCTGAGGCCTCCGGCGGCCTCCAGAGGTTTCCGGGGGCCCCAAGTCTCCACAGGATCCTGGCGTGCCAGCAGAGTCTGCCGACATCAGGCTGTTCGAGCTGGCCCGGCTGGACAACGAGCGGGAGGAGGTGGCGCAGATTGCCTTCGACCCGATCGACCTGCACGCTGACCTGCACATCACTGTCAGGCGGTTCGAGGGGGAGTCCTTAGGTCGACTACACGTAAGAGTGACCATTCGCGGGAGTGACCTTTGTTGTGGGCCTTGGAGTCTCCTCATCCTATCGCCGACCGCGGTGCGATAGGAGCGTTTTGCGCTCTTGGGGTTGGCCCTCCCGCGGCCCTCCGAAAGCCGCACACCAAAGGTCACTCTTGCCTAGGGTCACTCTTGCGTGTAGCCAACTAGGTCTGGAGCTGGATCTTCTGGACGGCAGGACGATGCAGATATGCGAGGTGAAGCAGGGCGCCGTGGACCGCATCAACAGAAAGGAGGGAGCGCCGCTTGTGGGAACCGGGAGAGGCTGACCGACGGTTCCATGTCGCGTTGGCCTTGTCTGGGCCTCGGAGGACCTCTGGAGACCGCAGAGACCTAGACCTTGGCGAGGGGGAGGAGGTCGAGGAGCAAGACGGGAAGGAAGGCGAGGGCGTCCCCGGAGCTCTGGGGCGGGTTGAGACACCAGGACGTCGGAGGTCCGGGCCCTGCCCCCGTGTCCTATCCTTCTCCCGCTTCCCCTATACGCAGAGCCCCCCTGGTCCTCCAAGACGGCCTTGCGACCGCCATGACACTGCGGGGGACAGACTGCACCAGTAAGCTGCGCAGCGCTTGAGGAAAGAAGCACCCGCCCACTGCTTGCCCCAGCGCAGCTGGATCACCTCAAGCGTACGCCTCTTGAGGAAGCTGGCACGCAGTCCGTGTCATTGACTGAAACGCCAGGGAGCCGCTGTCCCCCCCTTGGTGCCCTCGTCGTCACCCTCCTCCTGCCGGTCCCCACACGTGCCAACACCTCCGACGTCATGGTCTCTGGTCACGCCGTGGGTCGGGAGGTACGGTGGGGGCGTTTGTCAATGAGTGTGCCCAGGAAGCTTCGGACCCTGGGGGGTTCCTGATCTGAGGAGGGCGGCGGTGATGTCCATGACCGGCCCACGATTGGAGTTCCACTGGCCTCCAGACCGTGGATTCCTTGTCGAAGGGTTCCTTGTCCGATGCCCTCGCCGTCTGGGCCGATTGCTCATCATTTTGTATTTTTTTGTGGCGGGAGGTCAGGGAGAAAGCAAGCGCATGCTTTCTCACTGTTCCGCGACGCCAGGAGGTCAGGGCCCCCTCCTCGCCCTCACCCTTCTCCTCGCCTTCTTCCGCACATTCCTCGTGCTTTTCTTCCGCCTCCTCCGACCCCTGGCAGAAAGGAGGAGGGAGAGCAGGATGAGGAGGAGAGGATTCGGAGATGACTCGGACCCTCTCCTGCTCCTCCTCCTCCTCCTCCTCCTCCTCCTCCTCCCTATCACCTCTTCCCCCTCCCGCTCCGGCCACCGTGGTGGTTACCTCTTGGGGGCACCGTGAGTGCTTCTTGAGGGCCTCTTGGGGCCTCCTGGGCACCTCTCGGGGCCGTCTTGAGGCACCTTTTGGAGCCTCGGGGGCCATCTTGGGGCCATCTTGGAGGATATCGATCATAGGAGGGGACGTCGTACATTAGAGTCCCCCTCCCACGAGGCGACATTGTGACCAACACCTTAGTAACATCAATGCTGATGGTATTCTCGCCGAGGCCTCTTGGGGCATCTTGGGTGCCTCTGAGGAGCCTCTTGAGGGTCTCTTGGGCGCCTCTTGAAGACATCTTGGAGGCCTCTTGGGGGGCCTCTTGGACCCTCCTGGGCACCTCCTGGGGCCGTCTTGGGGTGCCCTTGAGACCCTCGTGAGCCATCGTGGGCCTAGGAGGAGATTGATCAAAGGAGGCCTCCCCCCAGAAGGCCAACACGTGGTCGAAACTTTATAGGACATTGATTCTGGCCTTCCCACTGATGTCTCTTGGGGCGTCTTGGATGCCTCTGAGGGGATTCTTGGGCCCTCTTGGGGGTCTCCTGGGAGTCCCTTGGGGGCGTCTTGGGTGTCTCTGGGGAGCCTCTAGGGGCCACTCGGAAGTTTCTTGGGGGTCTCGAAGGGGCATCTTGGGGGCCTCTTGGGTGCCTCTTGAGGCCTCCTGTGCACCTCCGTCTTGGTGCACCTTCGGGAGCCTCGGGGGCCATTTTTGGGTCATCTTCGATGAGATCGATCACAGGATCGGGCCGTAGCACAATAGGTCCCCCCAGGAGGCCAAACTGTGGCTAACACCAAACTAATATCAATGATTTTGGCTGGACATATTGGACGCTCCAACTTCTCGCGGAACGCCCCGTCCAGGTCCAGGGGGAGGGGGGAGGGAGATGGGTAAACCTTTTCCCGAAGGGGAAGAAAGGGGGTTGGAAGGGGGAATTCCCCTAAACCACCCATGCGCTAAAGGGCTGGTGGGATTCACGCCCCACCTCTGTCTCATCGTATGGGGTATCTGACCTGGTCATACGGACTGCGTGTTCCGAGACCGTCTGCCGCCTTGACTGATGTTGTTGCGGGGGTCGGCGTTGGGGTATTCGCTCGGAGCCCCCAGCTCCGACGTTCGAGCAAACGACCAGTTCGTCCACCCGCAATGTTTGGCACATCTCAAGTGTCGCAGTGGCCCGAGGACTCTTATCAGGCAGATCCATGACTCGGGCGGCGAGTGATGATGGTGACGACGGCATCGGCGATGACGACGATGATGGTGTTGGGGGTGGCGATGGTGACGAGGGCGACGACAACGACGATGGCAATTGCGATACCGATAGTGTTATGACTGCGGTGGTGATGAACGTGGTATTGGTTACATTTTGATGGTGATGATGGCGATGGTTTTGATGAGGGTGATGAGGTCAGTGCCCGCATAACTGAACTTGTTTCGATTGCGGTTTACGTCACAAGGCTGCGTGAGATCCAGACGGTAACGGTGCCGGCGTGCGTGTGTGTGTGAGTGACGCGTAACGTATTTGGGTCGTCGTGTGCGATATTTTTGTTAGTTCGTCCGTATGTTCGTGTTATCTGTGTGTGTTCTCTCTATCTCTTTGTCTTTTTTATCTCTCTCTCTCTCTCTCTCTTTCCCCCTCTTCCAAATTACATATACGTGTATATCCATTCTCGCTGCGCCGCAGTTGCACCACGTCGTCTTTGTCGGGCGTCCCCTTCACCTTGCCGCTGGGCTCCTTCGCTTTGGTAGAGCTGTCAATGCTGTATTCCTAGTCTATCGTTTACCGAGGTGGCGCATCATGGGCAAAGCTTTGTCGTTGACGCGAAACGCATGTCGACGTATTTGTTTGGTGTGTCACGTCGTTGCACGGGTACTGATGGTTTGCCAGTGGTGCGTCACCACGGTGCTTGGGGCCCCCATCGCCCTCTCCTCCTCGCCCCTTCGTTCTGCTCTGCCCCACAGCCTGGCTTAGCGGCCCCCTTCCAGTCAAGACCAAGTGTTTTTAAATACTCGTGATCCGTAAGTGTTTCGACCAGAAGGGGCCAGTGCGTCGTTTGGTCTTCTTCGGGTTGACCTCATGATGCGTTGTCTGTCATTGTGGGTGCCGTCCCTGCTTTCCGCGAGTTTCCAGTGGCATGTGATAGTGGTCGACTGCAGTTGTTCCCCGTCCGCCTCGGACCGCGGCCTCCCCGTCCCCGTTCCCCGCCGTGCTCCTCCTCCCCCTCCTCTATCCTCCTCCTCCTCCTCCTCCGCATCCTCCTCCTCCTCATTACCCTGCTCCTCCTCCTCTTCCTCCTCCTCCTCCTCCTTCTTACCCTCCTCCACCTCCTCCGTATTCGCGAACTTCTACGAGGAGCTGTACAACTCCACCAGCACCCGCGACGCACCACCAACCACGAGCGACATCCAGAGCCACATCCCACCCTTCACGGCCGAAGAGCTCAGAGCAGCAATCTCGCAGCTCAAGACCTGCAAGTCACAGGACGACGTAGGAATCAAGGCCGACATGCTCAAAAGCCCATGCCGGGAACTACAACATGCCTTGTTCCAGTTGTACAGCGCGGTCATCCAGCCAAACGCCCCGACTCCAGCAAGCTGGAGGAAGACGGTGATTACAGTCATTCCCAAATCGGGTGATCTCTCCCTCCCGCAAAACTACCGCCCAATATATATATACTATACCTATGCTCTACAAGCTGTTCAGCCGCCTGCTATACAACCGGCTTTCACAAGTACTGGATCAACACCAGCCCGACGACCAAGCAGGTTTCCGACTTGGGCGCGGCACGCGCGACCACTTCTTCACACTTAACATCTTGCGGAACGGTCTTCTGAATGGAACCAGGCTCTGTGGATCGCAGCAGTAGACGTCAGAGAAGCATTCGACACAGTTGAACACGACAGCTTATGGGCAGCACTGCGTCACCAGGGCGTGTCGCCCGACTACGTCCATTTACTCCAACGCCTCTACCACGACCAACAGGCCGTAGCACGCACCCACTCCACGAGTAAGCCGTTCAAACTACGACGCGGCACGAAGCAAGGATATCCTTACAGTTCCTTGCTCTTCAACGCCCTTCTACAGCACTTTCTAGCACCACTCATTCCGGAATGGCAGCGACGACGAAAAGGAATCCAATTGGCGCACGCCGGCCAATCTGTTCTCACCAACCTCCGCTTCGCCGACGACATTTTGCTAATTGCCAAACGCTACCCAACCTGAGGACTCTACTAGCAGACTTGGTCACAGCAGCGAAACCACACGGCAACGAAATACACCCGACCGAAATAAAGATCATTACCAACCAAACCAGGACCCGGACTCGGTTTACCAGCGTTGCAAACATGGACATTACGATAATGCCTCACACTGGGAAGTTGACATACCTCGGCCAGACGGTTACATTCCAAGATGCCGCGGCGACCGAGATCCAACACATGATCCAAGCTGCGTGGGCATGCTTCACAGCCCACAGACAAGAACTGACGAGTAAGCACTACCCACTCAAACACAGGCTCAGGCTTTGCCGAGGCACCGTTATTCCCACGATGACATACGGCGCGGAAGCGTGGACCTTGACAGAGCCACTCCGACAACAGCTACGCCGCACTCAACGACGGATGGTTCGGGCGATCATCGGAACTCCGAGAAGACGCACAAACGTCACCTTACGAACGCACGCCGCACCAACAGCAGACAGCCACACCAACCACGTCGCAGACGGCGTCCACCCCGACAGCTCCAGCAACCACGACGCATCCAGCACCCCCCCCTCCTCATCAGATCAGACCAGCTCACAAGAAGACAACAGTGACGCACGCCAGACCTACGAGCAGACGACAGACGAAGACTAGCTGTCGTCGGGCTTCATCCGCCGGAGCACACGCAGGGCTGAGGAATTGATGAGCAAGCACGACATCCCCGACGTAATACAGATACATCGCGCAAAAGTCTGGCGTTGGGCCGCACTCGTTTCAAGCCATCCGCAAAACCGATGGACACACCGTGTGTTGAATTGGAACCTCACCCTCGACGCAAAACAACAAGGCCACCGGCAGCACGGAGGCCAAAAGAAAAGGTGGGACGACGACGTGAGGAAGTTTTTGGCAAGCCTGCACGCGAACACCAGGGACGAAGCCACGGACAGCGACACCAACGACGCCATGCATCCACGACGATATCTCCACTACGACAGTAACGACGTGAGATGGTTGACAGCCGCGACAGACACCACATGGTGGGACTCTCTTGAGAGCGCTTTAACTGCATACTACAGCTGAGGGCGCAAACTCTCCGACGCCAGGTGCACCAATAAATGTTCCTGACCTCCAGCGCCGACGTCAAATGACCACCACCACCACCACCAGCACAACAACACCGAATATACAGGAACACCGACTACACCACCGATGATGATGATGATGATGATGATGATGATGATGATGGTGATGGTGATGGTGATGGTGATGATGATGATGATGATGATGATGATGATGATGATGATGATGATGATGATGATGATGATGATAATGATGATGATGATGATGATGATGATGATGATGATGATGATGATGATGATGATGATGATGATGATGTATGCCGTGGATGGGGCACTTCTGGTGCCAAAACGGTGATGGTAAAATGGCGATGGTGATGGTAACCGCTCTGGCCGACACAGACACGGAACCACTGGAACTCCTAAATGAGGCTTCTACCCCTGACGATTCCAATCAACCGACTAACATCGACATTTACACAGTGACGCCGACAGCGACACCGACGACAACACCAACAGCAATGCAGCAGCGACACCGGCATACAGCACCGACTACCGACGACCATCAACAGGAGCAGCCACGACACCGACCACGCCGACTCGATCCTGACCAGGTTCATGAACATCCTACATCCTCTCTAACGCCTTCTACTTTTCCCGGCTCGCACGCATGTCGTTCCTTGCCTGGTTTGTGCACTGGTTCTTGAAGAACTTGGCCCACGACGTCTATTCGGACACGATCTGAGGCCACGGCCTCTTGCGCCCTGCCCAAAAGGGCACCGGCACACCTGTGTGCCCGACTCTGGCGCCCTTGCCTCGCCTCGCATTATTCTCCTCCTCGAACCCCGTCCTCTGCCTCACCCACCTCTCTCTCTACAAGAGTGAGGGGGCCGAGCGGTCATTCATTTTCCCTGGGTGCGTGGCTGAATAGGGAATTCGTGGTGAGAGTTCTGTTTGTTGCGCATTGTTGTTGTTGTTGTTGTCGCCGTCGTCTCGCCCGCGACCCACCCCGCGACCCACCCCGCGACCCACGCCGCGACCGACCCGCGACCCAACCCGCGACCCACCCCACGACCCACCCTGCGACCCACCCGCGACCCACCCGCGACCCGCCCGCGATCCACCCCGCGACCCACCCGCGACCCATGCCGCGACCCATCCGCGACCCACCCGCGACCCATCCGCGACCCACCCGCGACCTATCCCGCGACCTACCCCGCGACGCACCCTCAAAAGAAGAAAAACAACCCGGACCCGACGTCTGACGTTTACTAAACGGCCTTGGGCGTTTACTAGTCAGCGTTGCCCTGTTCGATTCATCCCTTGTGTGCGTCTACTAAACCCCTCGCTTTTCGGGGTGATTATGATGGGGTGGCTTGTCTGGCTTCTACACCCGCGACCCACCCGCGACCCAACAGCGATCCACCCGCGACCTACCCACATTGGAGCGAAAAAATCGGCGCCCGCGGCGGGCTCGTTGTTTGGCGTGTGAAATCTTGACACCTGCGGCGGTCTTCTCCCGAATCTCGCAAATTTCCGACGTCCCCACCGCCCCCTTATTCTTTATCCGCATCTACGGGGTGCTACGTCTTTATTCCCCTCCTCCTCCTGCTCCTCCTCCTCGCTCCCCGTCCTCCTCCGCGCCATCCCCATCCTCTCTCATTATCCTCTCTCTCACTACCCTCCTCCTCCTCCCCCTCCTCCTCCTCTTCCTCCTCCTCCTCGTCCTCCTCCTCCTCTTCCTCCCCCTCCTCCTCCTCCTCCTCCTCCTCCTCCTCCTCCTCCTCCTCCTCCTCTTTCTCCTCCTCCTCCTCCTCCTTCTCCTCCTCCTCCTCTTCCTCCTCCTCCTCCTCCTCCTCCGCCTCCTCCTCCTCCTCCATTTCCTCTTCATTCATCCTCCTCCTAAATCCTCCGTCCCCCTCCTCGCCAAAGGAGACTAAAAGGTAAGGATATTACTCCCTAGACCTATCCCACGGTGTGTTCCGAGCAGAACCCCAGCGCGAATCCAGTGGTGGCGACGAGGGCATCCAAGGAGGCGCAAAAAAGGGAACACGGGGGAAATGTAGCGGCCTTTTCCTCTTCCTTCGGAGGCAACGATGCGGGGGGGATAGGCGTAGGGGGGGGGGGGCGCATCGACCCCCAATCGCCCATTGATCTCCGATAGGGGCCCGGTAGCCCCAACCAGTCCACGAAGGTGCGGTTTCACTATCGGAGGGGTAACACCGATTTATCGTGTCGACGATGTATCGCCGTTTCCAGGTCGATGCATCCCCCCCTGTGCCAGTCCCCCCCTACCGTTGCCCCTCACTCCTCCTCGCTCCTCATCGCTCCCAGGAGGCCCCCAGAGGGGAAAACGAGAGAAGGGTAGTGGGATGGGTACATTTTCTTCCTTCCCCTCCTCCTCCCCGCTCCTCCTCGTTCCTGAGTGGTGATTGTCGTGTGAGTCAGCCCACGTATCACATTTTTGAGGCCACGGCCTCCACGCCGTGCCCCAATGGGCACGGGCGGGCTCCCCAGAGGAGCGCGCACGACTCCGGCGTTCGATTCGCTTCGCTTCGCTGCGCTTCTCTTCCTCGCTCCCTCCCGCTGCTCCTCGCTCCCTCCCCCCCGCCCCCGCACTCGGCGCCCGGGCCGGCGCAGGAGCTGCCCAGGAGCCGGGTGCAGCCCGGCGACTTCATCGTGGGCGTCGACGGCCAGCCCCCGCCAGCGGGGGGAGGGCTCCTTTCGATTCCTCCGATCCGGTTCGATTCGGATTTGGGTTCCGAGGGGAGGAGGAGGAGGAGGAGGAGGAGGAGGAGGAGGTGGAGGAGGAGGAGAAGGAGGAGGAGGAGGAGGAGAAGGCGGATGAGGAGAAGGTGGAGGAGGAGGATGAGGAGGAGGAGGAGGAGGAGGTCTCAGTGGAGGCCTGCGAGCCTGCCGAGGTCCGACGATTCGACTTCTCCCGGCTCGGCTGCCGACTTTCGCCGGTCCCATTCATGCCGATCGCCGATCTGGCTCTCCGATTCGAGTCTGGGCTCTGCTGAGGGGGCGGAGGGAGCACCCCTCGGGTGGGACGAAGAGGGATAGAGTGGGTTCATGCGGGGATGGCACGCTGGTGGCGCTGGCGAAGGCGTTCAAGCTTGTCAACCAGTGGCGAAGCGTTCTGGCTTGCCTAATTAGAGGCCGACTGAAGAATGTTCTAAGAACCTTCTCTGTGGTCTGCGCGAAGTATTGTCAGAACCTTTCTGGCTAAGACCGTTTTGTTTTAAGACTTCGGGTTTCTGTTCTTGGAACAATGTTATTATTCCTCGAACATTCTTTTGTTCTGAGACCATTTCGTGGTAGGCCAAGGGAATGCCAGGATGGTCGGTCCCTGCTGAAAAGGGTCGAACGCAGAGGGATATGGTGGGTTCATGCGGCGATGGCGCGCCAGCGACGCCGGCGAAGGCGTTCAAGCTTGAATCGGGGCTCACGGTACGGAGGGCAATGCAAACGGGGGTCAGCCAGAGCGTCGGATCTTGCAGGATCCAGCAGAGCCAGGAGCGCAGGATCTTGCGGAATCCTGTAAAGCTCGACTGACCCGGTTTTGGACTGACCCGGGTCACTGCGCCCCAGATTGAATTCTCCATCAGAACGAAGTTACGTTAATTCTTCGGGGGACGTCGCCTGTCCCCAAAATTTGTGTCTTTTCTCCTGGCCGACGCGGGCTCGATGCGGACTCGACGTTGGTTCGACGTGGATTCCACGCAGATTCGAGGTGGATTCGACATGGATTCAGCGTGGATTCGACGCGGATTCGAAGTGGATTCGACGAGTCCGACATGGGTTCGACACGGAATCGACGCGGATAGGGGCGCGACGTGACAGACGAGGTCCCCCGAAGATGCAACATAGCGGATGAAGAGGGATGCGGTGGGCTCATGCGGCGAGCGCCGGCGACGCCGGCCAAGGCGTTCACGCTTGCACTCCGCATGTTAGAACGACGTGTAAGCACTGAGAGGCTTGCACTGTAGCGCCACAGGGCCCGACAGAATTCAACTTCGAACGACGGGGGCCGCGATCGATTCAAGGTCGAACGATCGACGCGGCGTCAAAACTTCTGCGCCCGCCAACGCCGCACGAACCTACCATATAATGAAATGGGGGAGGGGCGACTCTGCTGCATGCAGCAGGTCTCGGTCCCGCCGCGGGGGTGCATGTTTCGATGCCTGGGCGTCCCCAGCGCTGGGAGGCGCCGGGGAAACCAGCTCCGTGAGCTGATTCGCTGAGTCCTCCCTTTGCTACCCCTCCTTTTTGTCTGATTTTGTTTGATACGAATGTCTGACATCCTCGCGACGTGAAACAACTCAGGGCGGGCGGTGTTCGACAACGTTCGAGCATCGTGGGCCATAATCGGGCCCCAGGGCCGTCAAGACGCGACTCGTGATGAACAGTTTGCCCTCGCTTAGAGGTCGGGGGAGCCACGATGCGACGTCGGATGTCCGGGATCCTGCAGGGAGATTTGGGGAGGTGGCTTGGGGCCGAGCGCTTCGCTTCCTTTCGAGCCTTGGCAGTCGCCCTCCAATTGTTCCAGCCCTGGCGGACCTCGTTCCAGTCAGTTCGGGTTCGTACCAGCCCCTGCAAGTGTTGTTCAGTCCTGGCCACTTCTACTTGCATGACATGTTCATGCTCGCCGTCCGATTCGACCGGATCCGATCCCCAAGTTTTCGTCGATCCCCGTCTCGATCCGATCCGATCCCGATCCGATTCCGCGCCGATTCATGCGCGTTCCGACCCGTTTCCGATCCGATCCGATGCCGGGATTCCATCCAGCTCAGACCTGAAGGAGGCGGTGTCTTACGTTACATCTTCGCTGGACTCTGTCTGTCCTGTAAGAGGTAGTTTTCTCTTGTATCCGACGCAGAGCGGGCGTAGATTCGACACGGATTTGGCGGTGACTCGACACGGGTTTGTTGCGGTTTTGACGTTCGACATGGATTCGATGCGGTCAGTTGCGCGATCTCGCTCGAGAATTCTTGAACATGTGGGGCCACATGTTCAACACTACGCAGCAATGGCAAGGATGTTTGGCGACCACTTTGCAAATGTGGACTCTCTCTTTCAAGGCCCCATCCACTGCTTCAACAGTGGATGGCGGCTTACTTTCCAAGCGAGGTTCGCGCTGAGACTTGCTGGAGCGTGCGACCATGCGTCGCGGCGATCCTTGCAGCAGAGCGGGCGGAGAGCGGTGTGTGGTTCTCGTCGGTGCTAGCGCTGCCCGAGCTGCAGGCCTACGGGACACTTGTCGTTCGGTGGGAGGGGGGCGGCGCTTCCGTGGTGAAAGGGGCCGCCTCCATGACCTTCCTGGAGGGTTTAGACACAGCGCTTGGACCTAGATGCCAAACATTCCAGTCGAGGTTGTACGCAGTTCAGATAGGTCTATAGGTTTGGAGCGCTTTTTGTTTGTTCACCAACCTGGACGGTCAGGGCTGCAGGGACTTGTGAGGAGGGGGCTTGGGACAGAAGGACGTGTTGCAGCATCGCTGATACATCTTGGGGTAGTTCTGGCAGTGCCCCCCAGACATCCAACGACGTGGAGTATTCTCACGTGCTTCCCCCCATAGGTCTGGATCCCTTCCTTGGGACCCGTGTTCCTCCTGGGCTAAGGATTGGCGTTCCTTCCGTAGCCATGTTGGCTCAAGCTTCTAACCCAAGCCTTTTGACCCAAGGTATGTTTGCCCATGCCGCGGTGCCTCGTCCTCTCCGATGCTGGATATCGGTCGAGGGTCTCGAGAAGGCGCTACTTTCTTCGATGCGTCGATCAAGAACTGCGGTCGGACAAAACAATGGAGCGCAGCACTGCGGTTACTCCGCGAAGAGATTCGATTAGGTGTGCAATTTGCCCCAAGTCACTACATGGCGACCATCAGCGCATGCAGAAAAGGCGGGCAGTGGCAACACTCGCTGTCAGTGCTTAGTGAAATGTGGGAGGCGAAGTTGGAGCCCAACGTCATCTCGTCTACAATGCAGAGACCTTTGCGTGCGAGAATGGTCTGTCTTGATCGTCGGTTCCAACCCCAAAACGTCTCAGGGGGGGTCCAGGCGCCCCAAAAAACAGCCTCAGACGGCCTCGGGACGGCTCCGAGAGGCCCGATGGGGCGCCAAGACGGCCTCAAAGCACCCCATGGTAGCCCCAAGACAGCCCCAGAGGCCCCCAAGGCAGGCCAGGAGGCTCCCAAGACAGTCCAGGAGGGCCTCCAGGAGAGCCCCAAGAGGCCAAAACCATCCCATTCCCTTCGGGAAACGCACATCACATATCTTGTCCTTTCATCCTCACAGCGTCCAAGACGGCTATATAGCCCCCCCGGCTCGCCTCAAGACGCGCCCAGAGGCCCCAAGGAGGGCCTCCAAAACGGCTCCTACACGGCCAAGGGACGTCTCCAGAGGCGCCCGAAACGGCCCAAGACACACCCACGATAGCCCCAAGAGCAGCCAAGAATGGCCCGAGACGACCCCAAGGCGGCCCCAGGGGCGCCCAAGACGCCCCCAGGTGGCCCCAAGACTGCCCAAGAGGCACCCAAGACGGCCCAAGAGGGCCCCGAGGGACCCCCAGGAGGCCTACATGAGGCTCCCAAACGGCCCCCAAGAGGTATGTGGCCTGAGCATTGCTTCTAATCGAGCGGGCTGACGAGAGGCGACCCCAGAGACACCCACGACGGCCCCCGGTAGCCCCAAGATGCCCCCAGGAGTGGCCCCCAAACAGAATAGAAGCCACCGAAATGTCCCGAGCATGATCCGAAGGAGGCTCCAAGAGGGTCCAGACACCCCGACACGGCTCCTAACGAAGATCGACGTTATGAATGATCAGGGCGCCCAAAATGGCCCGAAAGCAGATCGGAGCCGCAGAGATGTCTCGAGCATGCCCCGAAGAAGGCCCCAAGAGTGTCCAGACACCCCGGGAAGGCTCCTAACGCGCAGCCCAAGTAAACCATGTTGACAGTGATTCCAGCGTCCTATCGGTGATCCTCCCGCGCGCCAGGCGCCTAAGCGACCCCAGTGCGGGCCGTCTCGGCGCCTTCTTGTGGGCCTCTTAGGTCGTCTGAGCTCCAGACGAACGAACAGAAACTTGCCCGCACCCGCCAGCCACATTCCCACCACACTACCAGATAAGAGTACCCTCGGCCCTGGCCAAGAGCAGATACAATTATCACGGCGACCCGCCCCGCAAAAGTTCTGATGAACACAGAGCGTGGCGTGACAAGCAGCTTCTGTTCACAACATGTCGTGCCTACATGGGTGTGCGTCCATTGACACCGCCTCCACCACCGCGTTCCTGCCTTCAGGCCTGCTTGCCTGCATCCCTCGCCCACCTCCCCCTCCAGCGGCCACCTCCTCAACCCACGCCGTCCCCTCCAACCTCCCCCCCACCGCAAGGCCCCGGAGACGCTCCACTTCCACGTCCACACCATCGCGGGCCGACTCTGTGGTCGGAAGGCCGCGGGTCAGCCCTAGTCTATACTGCAATGCCGGGGGTCGCGCGTGCGGGAAGAGCGGGGGAACCAATGGCTCAAAATCGGTGCGGGCCCCAAGAAGGCCCAAGATGGCCCGAAACGCTCCCAGACTGTCGAAGAGGTCGCCGATATGGCTTTCGGACGGCCTCACAGTGCCGAAAGACAGTCCAAGAGGGATCTAAGAGGCATCTCAGGAGGCCAAAATCACTCATGCCGCCAAGGTTTGTGACGGGTTTCAACGTTCCCACCTCTTCGGAGTCTCCACGCATATAGCTGGCCACAGGGCCCCAAAGATCGCGCCAAGATGGCCCAAAAGGCCCCCAAGAGTGCTCCCAGACAGCTCAAGAGGGCCCCAAGACGGACCCCAAGACGGCCCCAAGAGGCCCCAAGAGGGCCACGAGACGCACCCTCCGCTTCAGGATGATTCCCGATACCTCCAGGTGGCCCCCCAGAAGGCCCACAATGCTGGAAGACTGCCCAAGAGGGCACGAAGAGGCCCCCAGGAAGGGCCCCGACAGGCCAAAATCAGTGAGTTCTCGGGCTCCCAAAATCGCGCCAAGACAGCTCAAGAGGCCCCACAGAGAGCTCCTAAACAGCCCAAGATGGCCCCAAAACGGCCCAAGAGGCCCCAAAGACGGCCCAAGAGGCCCCAAAAATTGTCCCACGAGGGGGAACTCGAAGTGACACTTCGCGCCCTCCGCTCCAGGATGATCCCTGACACCGCCAGCTGGTCCCCAAGAGGTTCCCCAGACGCCGCGGAAGGCCCGACCGTGCCAGAAGACTGGCCTCGAGAGGCCGACATCAGTCGTGTCCCTTGGGTTTTTGAAGGGGGGTTCAGCGTTCTCGCCTTTTCGGTGTCCCCACGCTCCAAGCCAGCCCCGGAGCTCCCAAGATCGAGCCAAGATGGCCCAAGAGGCCCCGCAGAGATCTCCAAGCAGCCCACAAGGGCCCCGAAACGGCCCAAGAAACCCCCAAGAGGGCCCCACGAGGGTGAACTCGAACTGACAGTTCGCACCCTCCGCTCCAGGATCATCCCCGATACCACCAGCTGGCCCCCAAGAGGCCCCCCAGACGCCCCAGAAGGCTTCCCAGGAGGCCCAAATCAGGCCCCAAGAGAGCCTCGAGACGCCTCAAGGCACCCCCAACATCGCCTCCACGAGCCTTCCGAAGGAAGGTCTCTCAGGGAGCTCTGGGACCGCGCCTGCCACCCATGAAAGTAAGGCGCCCATGCGCCTCTTACTGTAGTGGCAGGGCCGTCTTGGAGGCTGTCTTGGCCGTCTTGGGGGCCTACGGGGCCGTCTTGGGACCCTGTTGGCGCCGTTTTCGGAGCCTCCTGTCTCTGATGTGCTTTCTTCCTTTGCAAAGGCTCCGTGCTGAATGGGCGATCCGTCTTGGAGTTCTTTCTGATAGTGCTCTGGACAGGCTGGCCATTGGGGGGGCATGCTCCGCAGTGCCTTCGATCCCACGCAGCCCGCGCGCATCGTCAGACTTCCTCGGGCGGCCCCAGCCACAATGGAAAACTGTTAGACAAGAAGGCCCACTGTTGCTTCTTGCTTTCCAGCCTTGGCCCGAAGACAGCCTTTAGGTGGCTCAAGATCGTCCTGGGGCGGCTCAAAATGCCCCCAGTACCCGAGGGCAGCAGCACGAGATCCGAAGCATGCAGCAATAGCGTCAGCGCACAGCAACAGCAGCGATGGTCGAGCCCCACGTTGTAATGACACCCCCAGAGGCCCTCACACGCTTCACCCCGCAAGTGGACGTAGTCCACGGGTCAGCTCTAGTCAGCTACAGCGCTGGGATCAGCGCGTGCGAGACGGGCGAGCAGTGGCAGCGGGCGCTGACGCTGCTGAGCGAGGTGCGGGGGGCGAAGCTGGAGCCCGACGTCATCAGCTACAATGCTGGGATTAGCGCGTGCGGGAAAGGCGAGCAGTGGCAACGGGCGCTGGTGCTGCTGAGCGAGATGTGGGAGGCGATGGTGGAGACCAACGTCATCAGCTTCAGCGCTGGGATCAGCGCATGCGAGACGGGCGAGCAGTGGCAGCGGGCGCTGGCGCTGCTGAGCAAGATGCGGGAGGCGAAGTTGGAGCCCGACGTCACCCATACTACAAACTACCCTTCCTCCCACCCCCTCCCATGGGCTGGGGCGGGGGGGTTCGCGAGGCGCCAGGGCGCCCAGAGCGACCTCGGCGAGGAAGCCAAAGTCATTGGTTTCGCGGAAGTTTGGGCCGCATTTTGTGCTGCCGTCGCTCGGAGAGGGGCGACCCCCACGAGGCCCCAATCGTAGATTTTCTATGGTTGCTGATGGATTCGCAGGTTTTCATATTTTGCCCCAGTGGCGGCCCAAGACGGCTCCCAGCGCCTCCTAGATCGCCCCGTCATTGCCCATGAGGCTCCCAACAGAAGCCCTACACTGCCCAACAGGGTTCAAGATGGCCGAAGAGCGCCTGAAGACGGCCCCAAAGAGCCCCATGTGCCCGCCAAGACGGCCTCAATAGAGTCCCCGCAGAGCTTCGGAGAGCCCCAAGGACGCCCCAGGAAGGCTACAAGGCGATTCCAAAATAAGCGTTGGGGCTGTCTTCCGAAAAACTTGGAACGGCACCAGATGGTTCCAACATACCGCAAAGCCCGAGGCAGCCCCGCAGAAGGACCCAAAATAAATGCTCTTGACACGGTTGAAGAGACACCCGAAATATACGAAGAGTGGCCCTTGAGGCTTCAGAGAAGTTTCCAGGAGGCCCCGAATGTCAGGGAGGTGATGCAGGGTCCCGTGTAGAGCGTGCGCCCCAGCAAAAACGTCATGGCGCAGTACTTATCGGTGGCTCTTCATAGTGGAGGACCGGAGCGCCCCGTTCACAGCCCGACGGGACGTGGTTCAGGAACGGCCCCACCCACCCCCAGCGGACCAGCGCTCTCCCGTGGCGGCCTCTTCGCCTCATTGCAAGACGCAGACTTGCAGCCGGAGGCGGGCTTCCAGAGCGGGGAGGTTGTCGGGGGATCGCCCGTCGCACATGGGATCGGTTGGGCCGCGACCGAGGCAGAAGGCGCGCATCTCCGCGCCTCCCAAGGCGCTCGCTCTCTTCTCCTTCCTTCTCGTGCCGTTCATCTTCTCCGCTGCCCGCCCACTCTAGCGCCACCTGAGAGCGAGGTCCTTGTCTCCTTTCACCGAGCAGAGGAGAGGGGTGCGCAGTTTCGCGTCGCGTCGACGCGGCGGCGACCTCAGCGCCGGCATCGCTCAACGCCGACACTGGTCCAGAATCGGCCGACGTGGACGATTTCGCGATCTCATATCTGCCGATCGTGCAGGGTTGAGCATTCCATTCAGTGTCAAGGGCAACAGCGCAGCTCGTCGGAATTCACCGTGTTCCCTCCGCCACGGGGTCGCTGCCGCGGCACGCTCAGGTGTTCCGAGGTCCCCCGCGTGCATTCTTGCCCTCCCCCCGTCCCCTTCCTCGAGCCGTTCGGCTTCGACGCCCCTTTTCTGCGGATCGATTCTACGTCTTGCGAGTCCCGGGTTCGGCGAGCTGTGGATTCAATCCACGGGTTCGCACATCTTTTTCACAATAGCAGGAGCAGCGCGTGGTGCCCTGCTCCGGCCTCCGAAGAGGGTTTCGACGCGGCTCCAGAGTTCTCCTAGACGGCCCAAGACGGCCCCAGAGAGTACTCAGACGGCCCAAGGCCGGGCCAGGAGGCCTCCAGGAGCGCCACTGGAGGCAGCCCCACGTCCTCCTACCACGGCCCCGGGCCCTCCCGGCCCTGCGCCTGGACGCCGGATACCCTGTGAGCAAATGCGGCCCTGTTTTCTCCCACAGCTCCGGCGCCCGGGGGTTGCCCCTGAAGGTCTCCCGGGTGCCATCTGGGAGTGGTTCTGGGTCCTCCCACGGCGGCCTCCTGCCCAAGAGGCGCCGAAGAAGAACCAAGATGGCGTAGAGATGCTGCGCCGCGTTCCCCTGCCAGCATGCGGATTTGTTCCACGGGTGCACACTCGTCAGAGTGAGGGGGCTGAACCGAACGGTCATCCACTGTCCTTGGGTGCGTGGCTGAAGTCGAATTCGGCGATGCGGATTCTTGTTGTTGTTCGTTGTTTGTTGTGGTCGTCCCACCCGCGACCCGCCCCACGACCCACCTGCGACCCACCCGCGACCCACCCGCGACCCACCCGCGACCCACCCGCGACCCACCCCGCGACCCACCCGCGACCCACCCGCGACCCACCCGCGACCCACCCCGCGACCCACCCCGCGACTCACCCCGCGACCCACCCGCCACCCACCCGCGAACCACCCGCGACCCACCCGCGACCCACCCGCGACCCACCCTGCGACCCACCCGAAATTTTCGGCGCCTGCGGCGGGTTACTTTTGCATGCGTTCCAGGTGGAGAACCTGCGACCCACCCGTGATCCAAACCGCGTTCAGTGCACAAACCAAATTGTTCGGCGCCTGTGGCGGGCTGTTTTTTGAATTCCTTCCAGGTGGAGGTGGAGAGCCCGCGACCCACCCGCGACCCAAACTACGTTCACTGAACAAGCCAAAACTTCCGCGCATGCGGCGGGTTTCTGTTGCATTCGTTCCAGGTGGAGAACCTGCGACCCAAACCGCGCTCAGTGCACAAATCAATTACTCCGACGGTAGGACCCCGCATGAGAATCTGTTTAGCTTACCCTTTGCCCTTTCCTCTTCCTCCTGGGGCTCCCGCCTGAGACTTCCTCACAATTCACTCACAGACGAGGCTCCCGCTCGAGACTTCCTCCATATTCATATCTCAAAAGCCCAGAAGTGACGACAGTTGCACGTTGCGGATGACCCGCTCGGATTCAAACGTGAAGTGCGGGCCCCATAGGGAGGGGGCTCCCGCCCGAGACTTCCTCACAAGTCACTCACAGACGAGACTCCCGCTTGAGATTTTTTCCATATTCAAGTCTCAAGAGCCCAAAAGTGACGACAGTTGCACGTTGCGGATGACCCGCTCGGATTCGAACATGAAGCGCGGGCCCCATAGGGAGGGGGCTCCCGCCTGAGACTTCCTCACAATTCACTCACAGACGAGGCTCCCGCTTGAGACTTCCTCCATATTCAGGCCTCAAGAGCTCCAAAGTGACGACAGTTACACGTTGCGGATGACCCGCTTTGATTCAAACACGAAGTGCGGGCCCCATAGGGAGGGGGCTCCCGCTTGAGATTTCCTCGCGATTCAATCACAGACGAGGCTCCCGCTCGAGACTTCCTCCATATTCAAGTCTCAAGAGCCCAAAAGTGACGACAGTTGCACGTTGCGGATGACCCGCCCGGATTCAAACATGAAGTGCGGGCCCCATAGGGAGGGGGCTCCCGCCTGAGACTTCCTCGCAATTCACTCACAGACGAGGGTCCCGCTCGAGACTTCCTCCATATTCAAGTTTCAAGAGTCCAAAAGTGACGACAGTTGCACGTTGCGGATGACCCGCTCGGATTCAAACGTGAAGTGCGGGCCCCATAGGGAGGGGGTTCCCGCTTGAGACTTCCTCACAATTCACTCACTGACGAAGCTCCCGCTCGAGACTTCCTCCATATTCAAGTTTCAAGAGCCCAAAAGTGACGACAGTTGCACGTTGCGGATGACCCGCTCGGATTCAAACATGAAGCGCGGGCCCCATAATGGAGGGGGCTCCCGCCTGAGACTTCCTCGCAATTCACTCACAGACGAGGCTCCCGTTCGAGACTTCCTCCATATTCATATCTCAAGAGCCCAAAAGTGACGACAGTTGCACGTTGCGGGTGACCCGCTCGGATTCAAACATAAAGCGCGGGCCTCATAGGGAGGGGGCTCCCGCTTGAGACTTCCTCACAATTCACTCACAGACGAGGCTCCCGCTCGAGACTTCCTCCATATTCAAGTCTCAAGAGCCCAAAAGTGATAACAGTTGCACGTTGCGGACGACCCGCCCGGATTCAAACATGAAGTGCGGGCCCCATAGGGAGGGGGCTCCCGCCTAAACCTTCTTCGCAATTCACTCACAGGCGAGGCTCCCGCTCGAGACTTCCTCCACATTCAAGTCTCAAGAGCCCAAAAGTGACGACAGTTGCACGTTGCGGATGACCCGCTCGGATTCAAACATGAAGCGCGGGCCCCATAGGGACGGGGCTCCCGCCTGAGACTTCCTCGCAATTCACTCACAGACGAGGCCCCCGCTCGAGAATTCCTCCATATTCAAGTCTCCAGAGCCCAAAAGTGACGACAGTTGCACGTTGCGGATGACCCGCTCGGATTCAAACATGAAGTGCGGGCCCCATAGGGAGGGGGCTCCCGCCTGAGACTTCCTCACAATTCACTCACAGGCGAGGCTCCCGCTCGAGACTTCCTCCATATTCAAGTCTCAAGAGCCCAACAGTGACGACAGTTACGTGTTGCGGATGACCCGCTCGGATTCAAACACGAAGTGCGGGCCCCATAGGGAGGGGGCTCCCGCCTGAGACTTCCTCGCAATTCACTCACAGACGAGGCTCCCGCTCGAGACTTCCTCCATATTCAGGCCTCAAGTCAGCGAGTAGTGATGATGATGATGATGATGATGATGATGATGATGATGATGATGATGATGATGATGATGATGATCGTTCGATGCCGATGATGGTGAGTGATCGTGGGATGGTGATGGTGATGCTGATGATGATGATGATGATGATGATGATGATGATGATGATGATGATGATGATGATGAGTGGGGAGTGATGGTGATGGTGATGATGATGCGGAGGAGGAAGCAAAGAGGAGCAGAGGAGAGGGAGGAGGAGGAGATCCTGCGCGGAGGGTGTGCAGAGAAAACAAGAACCCCACTTAGGATGTGGGGAACAATGTTCGGCGCTTGCGGCGGGCTGTTATTAAATTCCTTCCAGGTGGAGAAGGAGGAGGAGCGGGATGAGGAGGAAAAGGAGAAGGAGGAGGAGGAGGAGGGCGCCATCGACAGGGAAGGTGAGGGCCACGAGGTCCGCGGGCTCGACGCGCGCGCTGCCCGCGCCCGCCCCCTCACTCTTATCCGCAATTGCGGGATGTTACGTTTTACCTGCATTGTAGAGGCATTTGCGTGCGAGAAGGGCCAGAGGTTCAAATGGCTGC